ATCGTGGAGCCTTTTCTGACGTGCTATAATGGCATCGCGCTGTCTATCTCCTTCGTTCAGAACGGTAGCGACTCCGTTACTGACTTATCGTCGTCGTCGTTCCGTCGGTCTTCGTCAGCCGTCGTTATGCTGTCACGCCCCCGACTGGCAGAGGGCAATGAGCAGGTTCTGATCGCCGACTGTTCGCAGTCTGCCTCAGTCCCCCAACAGCCTGCGCGGCTCTTGGTAACCCGGGCGATGACCGAGCCGGTATAATTCTTGATGGCGTCAGTACCATGAGTGGCGGGTGGCTGAATTTTATGGAGACTTGCCACGGTCTCCAACCCTCGTCCTTTCTCATCCGGGCTTTGGACCGACAACGGCGGAGTGCCGTACTAACGTCCGTAAATATAGAAGGCTATATCGCGGTTTTCTTGAATTTACTTTTTGATCTCTATCTGTACTGGAATCTTCAAAACTTCATTCTTTATTTTTTCTTTCGCATTAATAAATGTCGATTTCTCGGATGTTGCATCTCACGCTTATTCTTATTGTTGATCATTCATTTAACCACTTTTTGCTGTGCTGAAGTTTTGTAGCTTTTTAAACATTGTGTTAGGTTTACCGTGTGATGGATATCATGCACAAATATGTGCAGATGTGTATATGGACATATCAAGTATTGTATGTAAGATGTGTGCTTAGACGTTTAGATAAATGTTGTTTCTTTGTTCAGATGTGGAGGGCGCTTTGTGATCTTGGTCCACCTGATATGAAATATGACCAAAAAGAGTGTTCTGTCTTGGAAGGTTTACTTATGGCAGTGGAAATTATCTTGCAAAGCTGTCAAAATCAGGCAGAGATGAAGCAGCAAGGAATACCTGTTCTTAACAAAGGTCGAATTATTTTAATCACGCACGTTAAGCAGTAAGAATGTCTTTGTATTAAAATTCTTGCATACGTAACTAATGATTTCAAAAGGTCTGAAGAGATGCGAATCGTCATTCAGCATATTGAAGACGCGTTGCTCGCTCAGAATGAAATTGCCAACCATCTGACAAACAAGTAAGGAAATTTCAGATCAGTACGTGACGGGAATTATTTAATTTCCCAAATATTAAATAAAGTTTGTAAGACCGCTCCTAGCATTTTAGTGTAAAAGTTAAACTCGGGGAAGGGTCGAACATTTGCTGCAGCTGGAGTTTAGCCTCAAGTATATGTAGCTGTTCAGGCGCCCCTTGCTTGAGGAATGTCTAGGGAATCTCATGACGGAAAGAGTGAAATTTGTTGTTAATGATCTGTGTCTTTGTAATGCGAACTCCACCCCCCATATAGGGCAGTATGTTTCGCGGCTGGGCAGTAATCAATTTTGCTGTACTGTTTACATTAAGGTTGTGTAGTTGACGGTGATAGTGATACGTACATGGAACGTGATAAATCGCAGATATGCGACCGGGTATGATCTTCTACTGTGGCAGATAATTCTGCTAGTTTCAATATTTCTGTTTACACTGGTCCTTGTTTTGTTATCGATAACATATGCATTGAAATGAGCTATTACCTGAAGTTCTAGCTATGGTTGTTGGCTCTGTTTATTTCTGTTTTCCTCATCATTTTTGTTCATTTTAATATTGGCTATTTTTAGCTTGGTTCCTATCGATATGCTGAACTTATGTGTAATCAGCGTTTACCCCGATGATTTTCAGGATACTCTGTGTGATTCAATTCCAGAATTTAAATCTCTCAAGGTATGCTCGTTTACTTTTCCTTTAGTTGTCGGTTAAAGGTACATGCGATTGAACAACAAATTCGCCAAAATTACCGAGGACCCTCTTTCCACATTTCGTCGCGGTTTCATTGTTTTTTGTGCTTTTTATTTATACTGTTGCACAAATTGCTTGAATTATAGTTTATTCATACGAATCATTGAATCTCTCCTAAAATATGATATTGCAACTGGACTCACTAAGATCACAATCGCGATGCTTTCTTCTCCAAGTTCCTTTTGCGGAATCATATTTGCAAAAACTAAATTTTACTACTAGTTTCGATCTTTGTTGTTACAGTTTGTTTTTGTTCGATTTTTAAGTTATTTTCGCGTATTTGTCACTGGCACAATTAGTCTTAAGTATCTTCATAGTCTTTATAGATGAATCCATGTTTTAAATGCGAATTTCATTGCTGTTATGCTGGTAAGGCACTTGAAGACTTGATTCATTTTTTGGTACAAAAGCACTATAATTTGACATCGACCACAGTTACTGGGATACCAATGAAGGTATGAGAAACTACTGGTTTACATTTGAATAAGGCGGTTTTAAGGAAGAGCAGAACACTTCTGCGACCTCAGCTAATTATGACGTCGAACTTTTCCATCCTGCGGAAATTCATGACGAACTGGATCGAATGGGTAATTATAACTAACATATCTAACCACTGTTTCACACTGCTGATAAGCCGTTCGATTATGTAATGGCGCGACTGAAGTTAAACTGTCTAATGGTATGAAAGCAGAATGCTGTTGTACCCAGTTCTACCATCGTTCTTGCTCACTCTTTAGAAGAATTATTTCCATACCGTACTGCAAGAACGACAGGTTTTTTAGACAGATTTTGGTCACTCCTTTCTAGTCCGAAATATTGGACAAGTCACCACAGTCACATGAGGCAGTGGCGGTCCTCCTGTTTAACTCTGATTGGATGGCGCCATCGCTGGAGATGATAATTTCGAAATATGGTAGACTTCGTCTACTTTTTCCTCTCTGCCTACTAGTAGATTCGCTGTGCCGGACGGGTTCTTCATCATTCTCAGCGTTAAGGAAAAGGCCGGCTTTCCCAGCTGTGTTCCTTAGCCAGCCGCCAGCTGATGGTCTGCTCATCGTAGTACTCACCGCAACTTTTCCTTCTGCATACTCCAGGTCAGCAAGACATATGCGGCATCTCTTGAACTTCGCTGTCCCCACTGAATGGAACCTTCGTTTTTGAGTTTGTTAGCACTATTTCAGAGAAGATATTTGAGAACAGTCTTGATAGGGTAGGCAAAGTCATTTCACCGTGACGACTTCGTAGTTAATTGCAGAACATCCTTCGACTTTAACATGGTTTTTGTATACATCTCTTTTGTGACCACTTTAAACAATTTGTATTGTTTGCTTGCAGCATTTTAACATATAGACATCGTTGTACGGTGTATTTAGTCAAATGCCGCCTTAAAGTGGGGTAGAGTGGCAGTGCAAGACAACTGAAATTGCGTTGCTAAATGATTCTCTGAAAAGGGAGAGTTTCGTCAGGGCACGGATATTTGTATTAGAATATTTACTGTCTGCTTACTGTTTGCTGTTCAGGTGTGTTACGTGCAGGAAAGGGTCTGCTTATTCGAAAAGATGCATATATGACTTTACCATTAAAGTGGTGCACGCCGGCAACTCGAGCAGGAAATGGCGAACAACTTTTTCCTGCTTGTGCTAACCGTCCTTGTACTGTCGTTGAAATCAACAGCAGACCTTCTGCTTGCTTAACAAGTTTCTTATTAAGCGGTGAGTTTTGTTAAACGTATAATTAATGTAAATAAAATTTTGAATTTCAGGAAGAACTGTAGCCCTTGAACTTCCAAAGAAGATTGCTCCAAAAACAATCAGTCACATTCTCACCTGCCATGGCAGCTACATTTACATTCACAGTCTCCATGTCTTCAAATCTGACACCGATGAACCGGCAGTGAATGTTGACGATTCCTGCAGTCGATTAACGAGCTATCGGTTTACTGTAATTAATGTTCTGCATAATTTTCCTATTCCTCTTCACTGTTTTATTGTAGCATTTCGATGAGCTGATGAACGATTGCCTTCTTTCTCCTGCTGTCATTTCTCGGCCCCATCTGAGTGGTAAAGAATTTACGTCTAAAATACTTAAACCTCACTTGTGTGAGAAAGCATATGTAGCCGCAAAACTGAAATTGCATGTGCACGTTATATTTGTTCTGTTTATTTAGCTTTGCAACCTGAGCTGACTAATTACTGGCGTAGACGTATTTTCTACACGAACTTACTTCAATCTGATCTCCAGTAACTTAGCGCCTATATGTTAGCCATAACGTAGACTTTTCGTTTTACGAGTATTCAGGCATTTTTGGATTGTGACTAAAATCTGTACTGAAATGAGAGTTTGTCTTTACGAATTTAATTGTAACTGATGATATTTGTTGTTATGCTTCTTAACGCTTAATTGCACCGCGTGACTTTTGCTTTCTGTGCTGATAGAAGTTTTACCGAAAATGTTTAGCTGAGGAACAGAGTCATCGATTGACGCGATTTTGGCCTCTTACCCTCAGCGCCAGTGTAATCTTCTCTAATGCACAGGCATGTATGGTTGATTTTTGTGCATTATCACACTTCACTGCGTTAGAGATTCGAACCACTTCTGACCTTAATAAAGAAGCACAGTCTTACGGAGGCCGAAGTATCAGACTGCAAAAAAGTCATTTTCCAGTTTCTAACCATGGAACATACGAACGATCCACTATCAATCACACAGTGCATCAAGATCAGAGGGCTCCCTAGGTTTGAATGAGGTTTTCGCTTAATAAAATTCTAAATTTTATTTTTAGAGAGGACCAGTACAGGCTGGCTTGGCATGAATTGGAGTTGTACCTTCGAAATTACAACTGTTTCTCCACTGCACATCATTCCATCTTAAACTGCTTGTTACAGTGCACCGGAAAACAAATGGAAAACTTTCCGATCGTTTTGGAGAGTGGATCGGAAGTCAGGTATTTTCAGACTCTTGTGTAGTAACGAGTCGGTTAAATATTGTTAATGAACGGATAAACTAAATTGCTGTTGCAAGTTTTACGTAGTTAGACACGTGGTTGCATTTTGTCAGCAGCGGCCTGATGTCTGGACTCTAATACAGATGTCGGTAGCTTCGTAATGGACAAGCAAGACAGTTGTTTGACAACGGATTATGGCATTGATCAATGAAGAATTAGTCCAATGTGTTCGACGACCGCTTTGATTCAGAAATTCATGTCACCTGAGATTGAGGAACAGCCACTGGCTCATGCTTGCGGTAGGCCGGAAGGTCATTGGCGTTCGTCTTCTGCTGCATGGAGGTGTCGACTTCATGCATTACCGCTAAAAATATGATGCAGTGTTCTTAGCGCCTAATATTCCTGCCCTGCTACCCACACCCGATGATCAGACATGTGACGTAGCGTTAGAAACTGCGACGCCTAAACGACAAAGTGTCTCAGTTCGTGATGAATTCACTCTGTACTGCAGTTGTTCCATTCTATGACTGTGTAGCCATCCATTTGAATCCTTGCTACATGCATATCCCTTCGCATGTTCTATACCTTTTGTTAAGAAATATTCTGGTCTAGCTTGTTTTAAGCATCCCTGAAGCCTTGTGTTTGCGTTGAGATCATCGTCGTACGCATTTTACGT